GGTTGTGATCTCGTCTAACACTTTCAAATGTGTTTATTAATTCATGTTTTAAATCATAAGTTTCATTCGGTGAGAGCCATGCACAGCAATAAGCCTGTTTTAAAATATTAATGAATAAACAATATTTCTCTATTGAAATATAACATGCTTCTTTGAACAATGGACCACCAGTAATAAATCAAAACCAGGAGAAAATTGCATTTCATATTTAATACAAGTTGAACTCTGCCTTCTTATAAATGATATCTTTTTTGTTTAATTGGCGTCAGTTCAGATCTAGCAGATTGCTAATAAAATTCTGGATTTCCATATTTAATGATGCATATACTTTCTGCTGAAATTTTACCAGGAAAAAGGAATCAGCCTTTTATTATCTCCTGAGATGGTGGTGAGAGGTGAGGCCAAGGCCTCCATCCAGCCTTGAGGGCGGCAGGGGGTGAGCCGGCCAGAGGGGGTGGGTTGAAGAGGCCGGGCCACTCCTAGGGACCCCACGTGGCAGCTGACACCCCCCCCCGATGACCCCTCTGCTGACCGGAAGTAATCATTCCAACAAGAAGGGCCACAGACTGGTGTCCCCTTCTGATCTGGGGCACTGTCTAACAATAACAACAAAAAGAAGAGAAGCCACTCCATCCCAAGGGCCATGTGTGCATCAGCTCATTAATCTTTATGACAGCCCTAGGAGGAAGGTAGGAACAACATCTCCCCATTTTACAGGTGAGGAAACCGAGGCCACAGAGTAGAGTGAGGAGGTGACATGCCCACAGACACACACAGCAGGTAAGTGGCAGGACTCAGCCTGACTCCAGGACCCTAGCTCTTCATACTACAACATGCTGCTTTGAAGGAAATGAATGAACCCGGGTCTCAGAAGACCTGGTTTTTATCAACAGTGAGTGAAGTGGGACACTGGCTGGAATGCGAGTGCAAATCACAGGACAGGATAAGGAAGAAGAGCTGGCCATGGTCCCAACTACACGCATGGCACTTCGCTGCACACCTTGCTGAGAATGCTGGGAGGCAGGTGCTTGACAGCTAAGGAAACTGAGGCACAGGGAGGTTGCACGACTTGCCCAAGGACACGCAGCCGGTATGAGGCAGAGCTGGACTCTACCCCAGGCCGTTTGACTCGCAACCCGCATTCATGGGTGCTAAGCCATAGTGCTTTCCTAGCCATGGGGCCGTGTTGAACCCCCGGGCACCCATTTCCGTCTCTGTGATGGGGCCAGTAGCCACTGGGCTGTGAGGTGTGGCTCCTGGCAGTGCACTAGGTGGGACACAGCTGGAAGCAGGCTCCATGCATATCGGCTGAGTCGGTGACAGCTGACTTCTCGGAGCTGAGAGATGGTTGGGTTGATTGTCTGTGGGGCTGGGTCGCTAGGCCCAGTGGGGATGAAGTGCTGGCCATCTGTTGTCCTGAGGTGCTTGTGGACTCAGCAGTCTTCCTGAAGGTGTCCCTGGGACCCCAGGGGGACAGGAGCCCTGTCTCCGTCTCTGCTCAGTTCCTGAGTCAGGCTCACCAACGGTGACTGTCCGTTGCATCAGAAAGAGATACTTTGATAAGACAGCCAGGCACAAAGGGTTAAAAATGTGACTTTTGCCTTCAGGCACACCCAGACTGGTGTTCCAGCTCTGTGTGTCTTTGGCCAAGGGGCTTCAGTTTCCTTTTCTACAAAGTGGAGGTGATAGCCAGACTTGCTCTCGAGGCTGCTGTGAGGGTTTGGAGAGCGAGCCTGGAGCAAGAGAGCAAGCCCTCTCGTCGCTTCTCTGACAGCTCTGCTCGCCGTTCCCCCTGGTCTCTGCACATGCTTGTCCCTTGCCTGGTCCCCCCTTCCCTGAAGCTGTCCCCCTACCCCTCACGCCTGTCCTCCTAATCCTCTCTTCCTGAGGTCCCTGCCTGATCATCCAGTAGGGGATGCCGAGCCTGGAGCCTGGCTCTGTCAGAGGATGCAGCAATCTGGGTTCAGCCTTAAAGGATGGGCATCCATCGGGGAGACGGGGTACAGCAACAACATTCCAAGAAGAGAGAACAAGGAAACTCGGACTCAAAAGGTGACGTCCCTCGTCCGAGGTCACACAGCTGGTGGGAGGCAGACCCAGGGTGGGGTTGGAGACCTGCTCACCCTGACTGGCTGTGTGGACAGTGGGCTAAGTGGCCAGGGGCTGGAGCTAAGCTGGACAGCGCCTGGGACCTGCACTCACCCACGGGGCACAGGTGGGACTCCGCCGGTAACAAAGAACGTGCGGGACACGTGCCCCAGGCCCCGTGCTCAGCACTTCTCGTTCATCATGACGGCTGCCCTCCCGGGTCCGCTTGCCTCCATTAGTTACGGTGCCAGGCCCGGCCGAGCCCCAGTATGTGGCTCTTCCTGTCCCTCGTGCCCAACCCTGTGGTCCATAGACACAGACAGGACCACCTGGAGCCTGTGACACATCTTTTACACACCGCAGGGCACACATACTCAGGTGGCCTGGGCGACGGAGGCACAGGTGGGAGAGTTGCAAGCTCTGACGGGTGGAGGTAGATGACTCACCTTGTCCCCCAGAAGGGACCTCCCCCTGGAGGCTGGCGGCCCAGATTCACGGGAGCCTCTCTCCGTCCCGCTGCAAGTGGCTGCTGGGAGGGGTCTCGTGGGGCTCTCACAGGGCCACCTCCAGCTCTGCGGGAGATCGTGGACAGGTGGTGGTACCTCGTGGAGCCTCAGATTGCCTGGCACGTGGGGCTCTGTGGGCATTAAATAGGATGGCATACAGAAAGCACCTGGCCAAGGGCCGGTCCACAGGAGCAGCTCGATAAACTGCAGCTGTCAGCCCAGCGAAAGCCCCGGGCTCATGGCACTGACACATCTTTCACGCCTAAAACACCTCTCCGTGTGGGAGACTCGTCCACACTGGAAGGGCCCTACTCTAGAACACTGCTCTCCCGCCCCCACTTCCGGCCAGGGAATGGCACAGGCCGCTGCTCAGTCTGGGGTTACGGGGAAGTTCTAACCTTGTTTGCAAGGCCACACGGCTCATGCGCCGCTGTGCACACGGCTGATCCCTGTCCAGCATTAGCTGCTCGGGCATTTAGGCTCCAGAAACTCTCGAACATACCTGTATTCCCACCTGAGCACACCTGTGCCCGTGTACATCTTACTGTATTATATGCGTGGACAGGCCCCTTAGCCTGTGATTGGGCGTGATTTTCTTCGATTGACCGCTGTTATTTTCTTTGTTCTTGTGAATAACCGGGTTGCGGGATCCTCATTTCTCCACTCTTGGGGTTCGGAAACCTACCAACCTTTCCAATACCCCCACGAGCGTTTGCTGTCTGAACAAGGCCCAGGCCCAGGATCTTGGCTTCTCAAGGGCTAGTGCCTGATTTCATTCATCTCTGGGTCCAACCCCTAACCCACTGCTTGACCAAGAAGAGGTTACCTGATAAAAATCCATCAGATGAATATATTTCACTCAATTTGGAGTGAAACATAAGAAACTTAGGGCCCATGCCATGCCCCAGTTTCCTTCCCTATGAAGTGAGGATGCTTCTGCCCCCCTACAAAGGCATGAGGAGCAAAGAAGGGAAACGTGTGAGTGCTCCTCACCCAGCACATAGGAAAGAGACTGGGATCTTAATTTAGGCCTCCCCAGAATAAGGCCTCAGGCTCACCTATTTCCTTCAAGGGTTGTTCGTCCACTCGAGAATCTCCAACAAGCACTGGCATGTGCCTCTCCACCATGTCAGACTGGCCTGACATAAAAGCTGAGATGCTTCTTAGGAAGTGTGTGTTTCTGGGTATCAAAGAAGATGTATTTGTGTGCGCACGTGTCAGGTTTCCACAGGATATTTTTGCAAAACCACATAGCATAGAGATTGTTTTATGTACAAAGATAAGAAAGGCTGACCCATAAGCTAATTGAATCATGCAAATAACTACTTAGCCACGGGAGAGATTCCTACAGACAGGCTGAGAGCCCACATGAGGGAGGACAGCTTTGGAGGGCAATCTATTTTATAAAGTTTACTCTCACGGTATAACCACCTCAAGATTAATGGGAATGGTGGCCCTAGACCTTGTTTTGCCTGGCTCTACCAACCGAAATAGTAAAAGTTGTATTTATCATAGACAATTTGCTGCAACTGATTAACATTAATCTGATTTCCTGAGTCAATTTCCTTGAGATATAGTAAACAGGCCAACTACCTGCTATCCACTTCTTCTATTGTAAAGATTTAGGTATTCGCGACAGAGGCGTATGTAAACATATGGGACTCCTAGCTGTTTTAATAAAACAAAAACAACATATCTCTCCCTAAGCCCTGAAACGAAGTGAAGGTGACAAGACTGGTTATTCTTTCAATAAATGACAAAAGGGTCTTTCCATCTAACAAGTGCCAGAGGCATCATCAGGTCAGGAGAGTGTGAGCTCCTGGGGCAGAGAGACCCGGGTTCAAAGTGTGGCCCCTTGTTGTCCCAGCTCTGTGACCTTGTGGCATTCGCTTAACTTTTATGAGCTTTACTTTCCTAACCTCTGCCAGCGGGGTAATACCTTCCTTGTGGCGTTCTTAGAACACAGGGATCAAGGGCGCCTGGGTGGCTCAGTCGTTAAGCGTCTGCCTTCGGCTCAGGTCATGATCCCAGGGTCCTGGGATCGAGTCCCACATCGGGCTCCCTGCTCGGCAGGAAGCCTGCTTCTCCCTCTCCCACTCCCCCTGCTTGTGTTCCTGCTCTCACTATCTCTCTCTCTGTCAAATAAATAAATAAAATCTTAAAAAAAAAAAACAACACAGGGATCAAGGGAGGACATGGAACAACGGTCCAGGAGCTGGCCAGGATCGTGCACAGAGAGAGCAGTCCATCGGTAGGGACTCCTCCTCCATCCCCTGCTTCCCCGTCATTTCCAAGTTCCTCTGTGACGGTCCCACCTTGACACGCCCCGGCCCACTTCCGGGCAGGCTTTCCTGCGTTGCCTGCCCTGGCGGGTTCCTGTGGCGGCGGAGTTAAGACATTGCAACATTTAATCATGAAAGCAAAAAGTTTATTCATGTTTGAAACTACATAGAGCTACCACGAGGAAGACTTTTTCAATCCAGGGTGTAATCCAGTTAGAAAGGAACACGAAACATTTTAATACATTAGAATCACCACCACAAATTATTTTCATGACTCAATCAGTTTCAGAATCGCATACAATACAAAAAGAGAGGAAGGAGAGGGGGCCCCAGCGCACAGGGTGAAATATACAGTACCGAATACTGGACTCTGAATGCATCACAATCGGCGCCGCTTTTTTTTCTTTTTTTCTTTTTTGCATGGATTAGTAACAAGATGAAGAACATTCAAAATGCTTTCTCAGTATTTACAACAGTTCTACTGATCCTGTGTTCATTGAAGACCCAATGTTTCCACTCTCGGTTTTTTAGAAGTTGCAAATGCAACCCTGATTTTTTTTTTTTTCTTTTAAAAGATTACAATGTACATTACATTTTATGAAGGGAAACAAAGAGTTAATTACAAGATGCAAAAAGGTAAGAAAGAGACAAACTACAGCGTGAGTATTGTTCAGAGGTAGTAAGTGAGCACTCTAAGCTACAGAACATGTTGAAATTCTATTGGTTTGTATGAGTTCGCATGAGGTAATAAAGCTGTGTTTTGATTGGTGAGATGTATAAATACTCTTTTGCTACACTATATACAACACTCCAGAGAGCAGGGCCCTTGTGGATGCCCAGAGGACGTAGCAAACCTTGACAAGCCCGTGCAGCACCCAGCGCACACTGTACAACCCCAGATGGATCTCGTGTTCACCTCTATCAGCAGCAAGTATTCTTCATCTCTCAGAACAATCTGGATCCATAATTTAATTACCGAGCAGACTCTGGACTCAGAGAGAAAAGATGCTACCAGTCTCTGATCTAATTATAACACAAGAGATCGAAACACAAACGTGACCAGGAAGATTCTTTAACAAACCATGGTTAACTGAGATAGCCAAACAGCTCCTTTATTCCAACCCCATTAGCGATATGAAAGAAAGACAATCAAAGTCTGCGATGGAAATATGCAAGAAATTCAGTTTAGGTGAGGTGAATCTTTGCATCTGCTTTAACGATTGAGGTTTAGCATACATTGTACTTTTTACCCTTAAGGCCAAGTAATTGGCAACTGTGAGACCATTAATGTAAAATATTGATAATAAATTATGATAAAATAGCTACAGGACTGTCAACAATGTTAAATCTTGGCCTAATTGGATAAAGTGCTTTTTTAACATTGTGTGTTTTTAAGTATAAATACAAATGATTATGATTCCTTAAAAAACTGATTTACCAAGTTCTCTAATAAGACAAGGTTTTACAGTAAAGCTGTAGATGGTGGGCTACAAAAACGCTTTCCTTTTCCTCCTATTGCTCTGAATGCACTTATCAAGGCATGTCAGCTCAAGGAAAAGTGTTGCCAGAGATTAGTTAGAGGTATCAGAGTGCACGCTTCCTGGGCCTTCTGTAGGCGAAGTCACAGAAGATGGAGTTGTTGCATCCTGCCAGCCTCCATTAGCCTGAAAGGAGAAATACAGTTCAACGGGTGCACGTCTCCATATTAATTCTACTCCCCAATTTAAAATACCCAGCTGACAACATGAGAGCAAAGCTACATTAGCAAAATGTATTTTCTAAACCCACTTTGGCAGGAGTTTGAAGCATGTGTTAAAGTGGGATTAAATGCATGTAAAACAAATCCATCCCACCAAGTAAAGTCTTGGCAATAAATCAGCTCGCTGAAGGAGGCCTTCAGCGAGCCTCAAGCTGGCACGCGGCTCGGCCTTTGATTTGCTGTAAAAATAAAGTGACTCAGAAAGAAATCTTTTAAGAAGGGAGCAGTGGAGAAGCTCAATGTGATGCCTCAGCCAGACCTTGGGCTCCACGAAGTATAAACTTCAGCCCGGCTTAATCCTTGTTTCCATAGAGAAGAGGCTGCCCACCCTCTATCCACACACCCCTGGCAGCCTGCTACTGTAACCCTTGGAAAATGAAGGCCAGAATTTCCCTCCAAATAGCATCTTGTGGAATGAAAATGCATGAACTGTGGAGGGGCACACTATTCAAATCTGTATTCCAATTATCTCTAACTGGAGCTCCTATTTGGGATGTTGCTACCGCTCTTCACATGCCGCTGGCCCTTCCTGCCTCAGACCTGCCTCGGCAGTAACAGTGCTCAGAAACAAATTCGCCTTATGTCTTGGCCCATAGAGGCAATTGCTGAAATCAATGTCTGATCAGATTTCTGCTGTGGCAGACAGCTTGTCGCTACATATTTTTATGTCAGTCAAGAAGAGGGAGGTGCTGGGCTTGTGAGTTGGGGAACACTGAGTGGAAGTGACGGGGCGGGCCTTTCTGGAGAGGAGGCGAGGGGGAGCTGGCTGACACCCAGTGCTTGCGGCTCAGACCAGCCTCCTGCTGTGCTGTCCCCACACCAGTGTCGGGGTGGGGCGCGAGGTCCCCCTGTCTCCTTCACCTCCGTCCGCGACTTCTTTTGTGACTCCATCTAACATGTCTTCTCGGAGGCCTGTGCCCCTAGGGCCGTGGGAACTCCGCCTCGAGTCCCAGCCCGGATACGGCTATTGGGTGAGCTTTGTGCTTGGTGGGCTTGTCCCTTCCTCCCACGGCCACTGTTCTTGGAGAGTGCCGTCTTCTCTTGTGATTGACTGCTCCGTGCTGCCCTGACGGCACCTTTCCTCCCTCGAGGACCAAGAGAAAGGGAGGGGAGGGGGGGCCAAACGACCCGGCAGAGATGACCAGAGCCAAGGGAAAAGGATTTTCCAGGCTTGAGGTGTATCAGATTCCGGCTAGGAGAAAGATAATGCCATGGCGATGCATTCCCAAAGCCTCGGCTGTGCAGGCTGGATGGTGATATGCTCACGTGTGCTGGTGAGGCTCTAAGGCATCCTCCTCTCTATCTAAACGGTAAGCTGTTTTTACCCCTCAGGTATGAAAATCTACTTAGAAAAAGAAAAACTCTTACACAGATACAAGTCTAAAGATATTCCATCTGAAGTAAACATCATTCCTCTTTTATCCAAATTTATAAACAACAAATGTACAATATTTTTACCCAGCGTGGCAGCTGGAAGAGAGGCTGTCAGCAAGCATTCTTTTTTTCGAAATAAATTAATCCTTCCTCTGGTGGTTTGAGATTATGCACTGTATTATACAACAGCGCCTTATCAAGCCTCATCAGTGAAGATGGAATTCATGTCTGTAAAATGCTGCAGGCAATCACAGTTTCATATTTTATCATGTTGATAAGGATATCGCACATTCTCTGAAGCATTTCAAAACACTTAAATGAAAAAGGAGAAATGCAACTAAAAGGCTTTTTATATGGTTTGTTGTGGATTATTATGAGTTATTTATAAACCCAAAAAGAAAGATTTGACATTTCAAATGTAAAAGATTTGAGTATTTAATGGTCCTTTCTTCCCTTTACAATTGAATATCCTCAATCACTTTTTCAATCATTAATACTCTCACAGCAAGCCAAGGCCCTAAAATGGGAGAATTTTGTCCACTTTCCTCCTGACTCCACCACCATGCTTTGGGCAGTTCGTTTCCTCCCTAAGTCTGGAATCCCAGATCCTGTCCACCACTGCCCTCCCCACCTCCACCCTGATGACCTGACCCCTCCCCCCCCACCCCCCGCCCAGCTCCCTTTCCAGACCTGTGCGTTCTGCCATTTTCCATCCATGTCAGTGTGGGGTAAAAGTAAAGTTTTGGTGAATTGGTTACACAAGCTAAAATGATTTCCTCCATGATTAAAAAGAAAATTGAGAGGCCACTGAAAGTGCTGAACATGTTTTGCATCCCACATAGACAATGCAGCCAGATTGCTCTTAGGAACAGAATTCTTTGTTTAGTTTGGCCTGTTGATCTGTCTGGGGCCCTCCAAGGTTGTCCCCTTCACTTGGGCTGTGTTTGGGAATGTTTCCTGCTGCTTGATTCTAAGATAAATGACCTGCTTTGCACCATCTCCCTGGAACACAGCACAACCGGTAGGAGATGGCATCTTAAACGGCTGGTGTTTGAGTCCTTGTTATCGACAGAATGCCAGCCACGCTGGGCATCTGTGAGGACTTCTAAGGGCGTCTGGGTAACATTAAGTGTTTAGGTTCATAAAATGAAAGTGCAGTAAAAATGCTGCCTTCCCCACCTGGCAACAAGCTGAGAAGTCAAGTCAAATGGCCATTCATTTATTAGTCCCTGTTTACCTGATGCTGTTCCTACAGCTCTTTGAATCTGGTTCCCCAGGGTACTCACATTTAAATTATGTGGACTGTACAGTGAGTTTCCTCCAAGGCCATCACTGTAGCCTCCCGTCTGATTGATAACATGACGGAGGGTATCCACCTAGAAGTGAGACGAAACAAAATTCATCATCCCAAATCTATTAAAACATCATCATTTACAAAAGGAAACAATTTGAATTATGTGTGCCACGAGGGTTTAGCATCTTCAATGAGAGACAAATTTATCAATCAAATGTGACTGGGAGAATTTCAACAATTCTTTGCATATTTAAACTCACACATCTTTGTTTTTCATGCCAGCCCAACAATAACATCTTCATGGCAATGCAAACTTTCCATCTACATCAACAAAATGTGTGTGGCTGTGGGTGAAAACTACTTATAAATATGTATACTGGATCGATCTCTCTCTCTCTCACACACACACACACACACACACACACACATACACCTAAACACATAAACACAAGTAGTTGCTCTCAATTAAGAGGATGAGAAAATATAATTTAAGAACTCAGGTTTGTTTTTTTTTTTATTCTGACTTTTAAAATTTCATAAATGATATGGTAATATGTTTTTAAACCATGCATACATTGGCACACACAATTTGTTGTTGTTGCTGTTGTTATAAAAGTAAGATGCACCCAACCCTCTCCATGAGCTCAAGCCAGAGCCGAATGCATTCACAAAGTTTATCAGGTTTGAATCATCAAAAGTCACTGTTCACTTGACTCCTCATTAAATTAAATGGTGGGGCAGATGGGTCACATTTGGAAGCACCCAGCACAGGTTCTGCATGGATGTGCAGACCACTTCCATGGGGTAAGAGTATGGAGTTTTGAGCCCAAACCCTACCCTGCCAGAAAGGCCCCGGTTGGGGCATTTCTCCTACCTGTGATTGCACATTGGCTCCGACTTGGGACCCTTGGTAAGAATCCCCATTCAGACTCTGCATGTTCATGAACATGTCCCCAGAATTTGGGAGGTTAAAAGAACCAGAAGAACCTGGAAAGGAAAGAGTTAAGTAGCTGAATAACAGAGAGCTACACACATAATCCTCAAAGACCTAGAGGCAGGGAGAGGAGAAAAGGTGCAGAAGGGAAAGGTCGTGTACAACATAAAGCATTTCCAGATCTAAGAAGATGGAGAGTAACGCCAAAGAGGTAGGTCCTGTGATTCATTTTGCAGCTAGGAAAGTCCTACCAATGGGGAAGCCCAAATAAGAAACAAAGAGGAGATCAAAGTAAACAGAAAAACACCCAGCAGCTGGCCTGGAGCCACCCCCTTGTTTGCATTTCTCTCTAGGACTTGGTCATTAAATGAGCTCTTCACTGTCATTAACTGCCATGGTGGACAACTATGCGGAGAATAAACATTTTTCTGAAGCTCTTTCTTAGCCGTACCTTCTACCTAACTTTCGTCGGTTCATGTTTCATTAAAAAGAACAGGGAGTGAGGGGTCCGGGGCAAGGGAGGTGATG